TCGTGTTTTAAAAAATGTTATACTTCATTATTGTACTACTACTACTACCAGCGGCGGCCTTATCCATTGCGAGGCTTTGGGCGGCAGATCTTTGCGAGGCCATTGTCCTTTGTGCAAAGTATGTGAATTGAAACAGTAGGCACTTATTAATATTAATATTATGAATTAAATTTATTTTATTGTTATAACTAGTAGCCAAGGATAAAATAAAAAGTTTTAAATATCAACTTTTTTCTACTTGGTTGTTGCGCGAGGCCCCTGGCGATTGCCCTGCTCGCCACCCCCTAAGGCCGCCACTGACTACTACTACTACCATTGTTCACATTTTTAAAATGTATTGATAATTTGTTATTATAATAGAAACAATCTACAGCGCGGCCAGAAATTCAAAATATGGCGGTGACAGAAATAAATTTTATTTCTTTTTAAAACATGAGAATTTACGAGTGTGACACTGATGTTTTGCAGGTTCGCGTGAACATTTTTGAAATCCTTGACCACCAAATAATGATTAGTTAGTCAAGATTTCTGGCAGAGATATTGATCTTCCTGGTATTTCGTCATTATAATCACTCGACGACTCTTGTAATTCGTAACGACAGAATTAATTTTTAAATATTTTATTATTATTATTACACTTTTTTATTTCTATAAAATGATTTCGGTAATTATTAAAATTGTTTCGTTTGTTTAACAGAACGTTCTGACTAGGAGATTAACTACAATGACACAAAATGCATTAACGTTTTATACCCGACACGATACTCGAATTGTAAATAAACGCATCTGATTTAAATTGATTGTACATTTAAGTCTTTACCCATTTGAATATCGAAATTAGAACATTTAAAACAAATTTAAAGTATTTAATTTTGTTATTTTTGCTCCGAGCAATTAATAAATAAATAATTTTGTCGATTGGTACCGTTCACGACATTTATCAAAGGAACGATATTTATTTTTATCTAAACTTTTCCACCGACAAATCTACCACTCCGGATCTGCTGTCGAGTGAGTCTAGAAAGTAAGTCAAATAACTTGTTTCTAATCGCTGTGTACATTGTGGCAAGCGAGAAATGCCGTCTCTGCAATGAAATTTTTCTGAATCGCGGTCTGTCCGATCTGTAAACCGCCGTCGGCCTCTAAACTTTGTCTCTGCAATCGGCTGTAAGAGTACTTTATAGCAATACACGTTTTTAAATATTTAAAATGACCAATGAACAGTTAAGTTGATTATTTATTATAAATAATTACGTTATTTCCTGAAATCGGAAAGTAATTCAAATACTATACTCTTTTTATTTAGCAACGCTCGAACCACTGTAAACACACTCTATCTTTATACAGTGAAATTAGATTAAGTTCACCCTAGTTTCCTTATTTTAATCCCAATCGGGATACTCTCGTATTGTAATCTAATGTTTTATATCTTTACAAATAAACGTTGTTTCGTTGACCTAGTCTTTGCGTGAGTCCCTTCCGGCGCGCTGTCTCTCACTCCATCCCCAATCCGTTCGCTCATACACGCGATCGTTTGCGCGAGAACATAGCGGTTTCTGTGTCTGTCCGGAAAGACACGGTGGTGTCAGTCCCGACGAAATTTGTCATTGCGATCTTCGCCCACGCGATGTTGACCCTTTGGTTCTGTGATGCCGAAGTATAGGGAGGCCCTTCGGCATTGTCACATTAGTGAATAATTCACATTTTATTACAGAGGCTGAGATTTCCGCCGCTTTACAATACAGTTAAATGTAACCGGCCGCATTGTAAAACGCGATGTAACGACAATCCGGCTGAAAGTTAGTTAGCGTTATTACAAAATGGCGCCGTTTAATCAAACAGCTAGACTTTTTGTAAAGCGACTAAATTAAGAATCCGGCTACGACGTACGCGCAGCTGCCGGGAAAGCAAAATGTCCAAACAATTGACAATGCATTTACTTCTAAAAATTCGCATAAAATAATGATTTTTAATCATTAATTTTATTTTTACCGTACACTAAAGATGCAGAACACGCAGTGTATACAATGCAGTACAGAAGTAATAATAAACTAATTAGTAAAGTTTTCGTTAAACTCGCTCGTTTTGAATGGCTCTAAATTAATTAGGTTCTTATATAAAACAGTATATAGAAATTACGCGTACATAATTTAGAACATTTTTGCGTGTTGTGTATATATATATATATATATATATACTACACACAACAGGCAAAAATATTCTAAATATATAGTAAACAAGATATTTAATTTACATACAAATATAAATTAATTAGGTTCTTATATAAAACAGTATATAGAAATTACGCGTACATAATTTAGAACATTTTTGCGTGTTGTGTATATATATATATATATATATACTACACACAACAGGCAAAAATATTCTAAATATATAGTAAACAAGATATTTAATTTACATACAAATATAAATTATTAATATATATATTTATTAATAATTTATATTACTACTGAATTATGATTTATATCTGTGTGTAAACCATATACCTTGTATGGTGCAATAAAATAAAAGCGATCAGTTATTATATTATTCGTTCTAATTAATATTTATGAAAGCAGAAGAACGAATATCGATAAATCTTTCAATGTTTAAACGATAGTAGCGATACTGGTAGTAGTAGCTCTTCAAAGCCCGCTTATTGGACTGCTATGCACACTCTCAAACACGTACATTGCGTATACACATACGTATGTGTATACAAACACAGTTCCTAGATTATTTTTGCGATACATTATAAAACTTCTACTGAAAGTCGTCTTAATTAATTAATACTTGTAATGCGTGGCCAACCACAGATGAACAGGAGGACACCTGACCGGAATGTCTGATTTCATCAGGCTTAGAAGAAAGGCAGAATGAAAGGTGCGCTTAAGTAACGCATAAAAGTAATTTTAGCTCGGTTATCGTAAAGTCTCGTGACTCAAATTTTGTTAGTAGTCCGAACGGCCGAGAGGTTAAGGTTGCAGGAATTCTTCGTAGGATGATCCGTCCTATGTTTGGTCCGTTTCCCACTACTTGGCCGCTGCATAATGGGCAAGCCAAATAAAGCCTTCTTAGTACCCTCTGGGCAGAGAAGTAAAAACACTCAAATTTTATCGAAAGACATTAATTCGGGCGGTTTTGGGAAATATAACAATTGCTTTCAAACTAAATATTCGTTTACTAGTGGTCGAGTGGTGAAACCACTAAACACTGGTAGTTAGCGCGATTTGCGCCCGATTAACGGGTTGGCCACGTGAAATTTCCCGGATTTCCTTAAACGTCTAACACCTAAATAAGGGCAAGTTTGGCATAGTTAAGCTTTCCCGGGAGGCACGTCTCACTTAGCAGATCTCCCATGTGTCGCGCGTTGCCATAACCCATCAAACAAATCAACTACCCACACTAAATTTTCTCGCGAGATTAATAATTAAATATTTCCACTTTTACCAAACGAATTAAAAATTGAAAGTACGGGATAATTAAAACTAATATATCCTTGTTCGGAGCAATCTGCACGCTGAACAATGTGATACTTGATTTGTTTGCTTGGACTGCCCGAATTCGATGGGTCGTCCAGAATAGTAAGCGATAATCGCCTCGGCACCTGGCCCGCTGCGGTGCCTTTGTACTGTAAAACATACCTAATATATTAATTATTTTCTTTTTCGTCTTTGACAAATTAACTAGGACTAATTAAAAATAGTCAGGGAAACATAGGAGAGGTTTCGTATTTTTCATAATTGTATACAATACTAAATTGCGCGGACATCTCGCTGACCAAAAGAGTCACCGAATTCCTTTACTGAATTAACTGCAATAGGGCAATCAGCTCACTGAAAAAATCATTTTTCTTATTTTTGTTTCCTGTAAAACAAATATATTCTATATTCTCCACTCTTTTATCCTCATTTGTGTTAGTGTTAGAGGCAGAAGATAAATCAACTAGCAAATTGAAGAGTGGTTTTTTCCGGTAGGTTAGTTATCTTCTGTCTGTATTGTGCGTGAGGACGCACACTATACTAAAAGCGAGGTGCGGGATGGGGTGAAATACTATCTGCTGTCATGTATAATGCTAGAAGACATAAGGCACTCACTCAAGCAACTCATGGATGAAGATAATCTTGACTGGCCTTGTGATCTTGAACCGCTACTGTCTAGCAAAAAATACTTCTGCCTATTTAGAAGAATTGTCAAACTCTATTTCACAAGAATAATGATCCATTAATGGACTGCTCATCTCTCCTGTCTTCAATGTACTGCTAAATGCTACACTGTCTTCTCGCGTACCCTAATGTTTATTCAATGTATGTCTGGTTCAGCACAATGCTTGTCCTTTCTGTTTCATTATGTTTTCCTTGTACCGTGCATACGCGATTCTATATGTTTTGTATATAGTGTGTTAAACTGTCTCCACGAGAATCGTATTGCTTATTCATTCTATCACTGATTTTGTACAACGTCTGTTTAACTCGTCCTGTCTTATTTTCCTTATATATATCTAAATATATAAAATTGCTTGTCCTGACTGACTGACTGACTCACTCATTCACTCACTGATTCATCATCGCCCAGAGCAAACCGCTTAACCTAAAGAGATGAAATTTGGTAGACAGTTAGGGTACGTCATGAAAACGCACACTAAGAAGGGATTTTTCGAAATTCCCCCGCGGGGGGAGAGGGAGAGCATTAAGGCTTAACCGTAAGAACGGTTTCTACTGTACTATTTTAGATGCGATTTTTTGTTTTTATCTGCGTTTTAGTAGGGTATGCCATGGGAATGCACAATAAGAAAGGATTTTTCGAAATTCCCCCGCGGGCGGGAGAGGGAGAGGATTTAGTCTTCATCGAGTACTTAGGGGTATTAAATTAATAACATTTCAGACATTGTTATAAATATTTTTATATATTTTGATTTTTCATCTAAATGTTCGAACCTTTTTAAATTCGAATTTGTTATTGCTTATTGGTTCGATTATAGAACGATTGTAAACGTTCCAGAAAATTGATCAAATCGAAGATAGTTCGTTTGATTTTGACCAGTTCTCATCATTTTCAGCGGTAGGTGTTATATAACAATTACTATGGTTATTGAAATATTGGATGTAAATGNCACATATGTTGTATATATATATATATATATATGTACACAAGGAAAATAAGACAGGACGAGTTAAACAGACGTTGTACAAATAAACATAAAAAGAAAAATCGCATATATATGCGATTATTCTTTTTATGTTTATTTTCTCTGGCATTATTTAGTTAGTTCACTCGAAATGTTTCACAGATGTATGCTCTACATTTTCTTCCCGATTGTGTCTAGCGGTATCGGGCCGAATAAAGATTATTTTGTCTTTTTGTCTGTCTGTTTGTTTCTACTAAATTGTCCTTTCCTCCTTTCCTTCTGAAGAGTCTCTATTCAGTTAGCCTTCCTATTTTTCTAATGTACTGTTCACTCTACTGTATTCTTCTTTCCTCCTATTGTAGACTTCACTTAATTCGCCTTTCTCCTTTAAAATATATAGAATAAAACACGTATTAATTTATACATATTATGTAGCATTGCGCTTTATCCAAATAAACAATTATATTCGGCTCCCTCTAAAGAGAATATTGCAGCTGTGCTTCTCATAAATGTGGAGATGTCATGCAAAAGCAAACAAGTCCACTCTAAACAACTGTTGGAAAAACGCAAAAAACTGTTATTGAATTTATTTTACACCTCACACCTGTAAAAATTTATTATTGTTTTTTCATTTTGTATCTAACATCAATATTTGAAGGCAATTTTTATAGGAATATAGTTAGTACGAGTATTTAATTATATGACATCAAAATACGGACATGTTTCTTTTTGCTTGGACAGGGTGGATATGTTTTCTATTTTTTTTTGCATGAACTATGTTAGGATATGTTTTATTTTGCCTAACCACTGTATTCTTTTCACTTTGTTATACTGACTACTACTTTGACTTATCAAAAAAACGTGGCATTTTACAAAATAAGGATGAACAATAAATGTCTTCTCCCAAACAATCACACGGGTTCCCATTATTTTCTTCTTTTTCCGGGTCATCTGTTTCAATCTTTCCGTTTTTGCTTCCGTTTCGTAACACTTGTTTATACAATGAAAAACTTTCATCATTTAAAAGTGATTCAACGTCTTTTTTCTTGGCAGCTGACAGAGGGTGCCCTACAGGTAGTAGCTCGACTGAATGCTCATCCCAAAGGAGCACTGTATTTTTGTATTTTTTTCTTTGCCCGTACTCCAACAGTTTTATGTTTCTTTCTAGGTCCAACATTGCCTTCTTCTACACTTATCAAACCGTCTTCATCCATTTTCACTCAATTGTAACACTGAATACACTGTATAATAAAACGTGTACTAATAAACGACATTTTAACATAAAAATCTTTGTTCTAACAGAACAACGAAATGACACAACAGAAACAAAAACACCTGTTGCAATTCTGGAAGTCACGTGACTAAATCATAGCTATTCATTCACCGAGGCAGACTGCAATGGATATGTTTTGTTCTGCTTGGAACACGTGTAAAGAGATTTTTTTTTTGCACAGAACGTCGACTTAAGCTTAAGAAGTGTTGGATGCATACTTTTTTTGAAACCGACTATAGCAGTAGATAGGAATGAGGCTGAAGAAAAAAAATCAATTATAAACTCGACTTTGATCTTCTGTGGATTTGTTTGCTTTTGCATGGCACGTCCACAAATATTCTTGATATTCAACATATCGATTCTTATTGTTATGCAGCTATTTAGAATTAAAAACACGAAGGCATACTACAGCATATGTATATTGTATATCCATTATCCTTTGTAAAATTTGTGAAGATTCGTGCGTAAGTGGTTGTATTATGTTTATTTCCATTTTCTTAAACGAGTTGTAAATATTAAAATTATAATTTTAAATTCATATTTTCAGATTAATTCACAATTAAATGTAAATTTGGATTTACTTTTAACACCACTGACCTTTCTATCTTAGAAATTTTAGAAATAAATGTGAGATGAGACAAAAATTGTACAGAATAAAGGCATCATTAACAACTCTATTGTAGAAACTCTCTGCGCATCCAATGAACGAGAGAATATTAAGTTCTGTTGTAATGAATTAAATGACATAAGGTACCGTCAGACCCGTGATAAATTTATTTTATGATTCAATGAGCAAATTTATACATGAATTTATCGATTTTATAAGTTGAAATTCTATTTTCTAGAAGGATGACTTTTACGAAAGTGTATCTCCTACCTCTTTCCTTTGTCGCTATCCTCTTTATAACCTTTGCGACCACGTAAGTATTTTTACATATGTTTCATAAAAATTAAAGAGAGAATATACTATTCAGTTTATAAATAAGGGTAAACATTTTCATTTCCTAATTAATTATATGAATTTTACTTTATGTAAAAAGTCAATTAAACTGTTGCAGCCTGCTAGAGGCCAGATTTCTAACTAGCGATTGGTCGCGAGTTCGAGCCTTATCAACGAACATACGAGTGTTCTGTCCTTAAGAATGTCGTGTCTTCAGATGGGTTATTGACATCTCCCGCATTTACGGGGTATAATGATACAATCTTTTTAATGCTGATGATCCTGCTGGGAAAATGATTTCTCGACGTATTTCGTTCGCGTCGCTCATTCTCCCCGTCTAGGGATGGGTGTAAACTGCGATCGAGGGGTCTTTAAAAACTCAGTTTATATCAAGAGCGCAATCGAAATAATCGGCAGCGATTCATCCATAAAATCTCAATAAATTTATATTTGAAAAAATGTATTATTCATACGTTTTATTGGATATTGCAGATTTACTATATCTGTCAGACTCAAACACGTGACACCAATCTTTCCTTACATAAGCGATACAGGGACAAAACCACCAGAAAGTACAATTTTTGGACAAATGCTTAACGTTTCCAGTGTCATCAGTAAGTACGGTACACACTACAGAGTGATTCGGAAGTCTTCGTACGTAGACAAAGGGTTCCCTTTATTACTCAGAATACGATCTACGTGGATATCATTTAACCGAACGAATTGTTTCTACTGCCTTTAACACGCATTACAAAGGCACTCTTTAAAACATGTGCTTTGTACGAAGACTTTGAATCACTCTGTACATTAAAATCCGATTCGATGATTTACAAAAATGTATTTTTCAATAGTTTTCGTTTGTTTGCATTTGAGATATTTACAAGTGAACGAAATACTTCGAGATCCAAATTTACCTCATCACCAAGAAATAAGTCGTTTAAATCGAATTTGCTATTCATTGTCCTTCTTTGTAAGTTTGGGATTATCCATCGTGGCAAATTTTCAGGTAGGAAATATAAATATTTACGAATAAAAAGAGATGAGAATAGTAAATTTATAAGTTGATTTTCCAGGAAACTGTACTTTTTCCTATTCACATTGCTGGGGCATGTTTATTGTTTACGGGAGCAATTACCTACAATTGTATTCAAGTAAAAATGTGTTTTAAGTTAATCCCACGTTTCTGTTCTCTAAAACTTGCAAAAATCAGATTGTTTCTCTCTGTTTTACAAGTATTAACGGGCGTAAGTAGTATCCTTTTTACTATAATAAATTTTATATTGTTCTTTTACTTGTAATAATGTGAAAGGACTATTGCCGCTATTATGAAAAGTTTCTTTACATCGAATGTATATTAATTAAAAACGTGTAATAAATCCGATTTTTCTCGTACCATTCATTTGAACGACACAAGTGTGTACGAATACGAGCTATGACGACACACTAGCAGATCGTATCTGGTCGGCTTAGCGTGTTGTATATACGATATATGCCTGTATACAACAGTGAAGTAATCTGAATTGTTCCGTGCGTTGTATTCTTCTTTGTTTATCATTATATACTTGAAGATTAACATCATATAAGCATGGATAACTTACAATTTCATTGGCTGCGAAGAGAAGGTTCGGAAGTGGGGGCAATTTCCTATAGAAAGTACTTCCGGGAAGCACTTCTATCTCGGCCGATCGCACGTGTTACGTTGCCATATTCTATCACTTCGATTTACCTTGTAGACAGTGTATTTTACGCTTTGTTAATTTAATACAAATGTAATAATATATTTCCAAAGTCATGTTTTTAATCTGAACATCGCTCCAAATCAAAACATACAAACATTATTATTAAACCGAGATACCTTAAATAACAAGAACTTTACGTATTAATAAGTGTTATCCGAATATGAAATATAAAAATAATTTTCGTTTTGAAATGCGCTCCTTAATAATTTACAGCTGGAGTATTTATGATGAAATCTCTCATGGTTTTTAACAAACCAATACAGCAGATTCCTCTATGGACTCCCGAAGATGAGGCGAGACACTTAATTATTAAGCATTTTATTTATTTTTTCCCTTTCTTTCTATATTTAATTAATATTTCAGGGTTACCAATATCACGTGGCGAGTACAATTTCTGAATGGATCCTCGTAACTGCCAATGCTGTATCGGTAGGAACAAATTACGAAGAATGTAAAACTGTAATTCTTATACCACCTAAAGTAAGTATAAACCAAAATATACTTTATTAGATGTAATTAAGTAAATTTCTGTTTAAATCACAATGGGATGCCAATGCTTAATTGTCTTCTGTTAGACTCGTCAGTACATTTTTTGTACGCTTAAATGCTTAATTCGGAGGTTTTTTTTTACTTTTAATACTCTTTCCGCCCTGTGGGCACTAAGAGGGCCTCTTATAGCAGGACCATTATAAGTTCGACCAGGCCCACAATGGGGCCACCTAATGGTGTGGGACGGGGCTCGACATATCCGAACGGACCACCCCCCGAAAAATTCCTGGGGATTCTTTGACTCGTCCGGATTTGATCCCGGGTCCCTCGGAGCGGTAGGCCACCACCTTGAAAATTCGGAGGTCTATCAGTGGACGAGTGCACAAAACTCCGAACATTAACATTCGCGCCTAACCACCGGCTGGTAGCGTAAAGTTTTTCGTGTTTTCTTCACGCGTCTAACGTCTCCATAGGACTCGGATTCCCATACGAAGTTATTCGAAATGCCTCCCCTTAGCTGATCGCCATTGTGTTATGTTGCCTTACCCCATCAATCTATAATCCTATAATCTATAATCCTAACCTCTACTATGTACTCTCGTGATACTTATCTCTATGAAGGATAGCGAGACTTATTTTTGACGGGATGCTGATCCCCATTTGAATAAATAAATATTATAATAATATTAATTATTTTCACAAATATGAGAACTACTGTTATATAGGGCATTTCTGTTAGTATTTGTGTATTGAATCATCATTAATCATTATTTTTTCTAATTTTAAATAAACACTAGGGACTCAAAGTTCCCTTTTACCACCAAAGAGGCACACAATACAAGTACAGTTTTATGTTTATTTTAAATAACTTGCGAGTTAAGGTAAACTCACACTTGGGCAGAAGGACAGACGAGTCCAATGAAATTTAGAGCAAAATAAATAGTAAAAGTATTCAGAACAGCCATTTTTTTCAGTCTGTGTAACGTCCACGAATAAATTAGAGATGGTAAACTTGCCTATTATTAGATGCCGCAAATCATAACGGCTAACATAATTCTTGTAGTTTTGCACTAGAGAAATTAAAGTCGAGTCTGGTAAAAGTAATTAAATATACAAAGATAACAGCACTCCTTGCTGTTATCTTTGTATATTTAATTTCTCTTACCATAGCAAATTGGAAGGAGAAAAAAACGATTTATGTTAAAGAGTGCTGGGCTTCAACAGCCAGGCATTTGGGTTAGTGACTTTGTCGGTTGAAGGCGAAAGAGCGAAAACGTAGGATGTGTGATATAATGGGATAAGGCAACACAACACGCGGCGACTGCCAAAAGCAGTGTGTCTCCCGGGTAGACTTATGAAAAACTGGCCCTATTTACACACGTGAAAAACGCGATAAACGAAATGGTTAGTTAACAGTAAGGGCGCGACTATGCAGACGCGAATTTAGTAGCGAGCGGGAAATTGCGAGCAATATAGTTCTTGCAAAGGAAAACCACAAGCGAGAAGCGAGAAATCTCGCTGGCGAGAGCGAATTTCTGATTCTCGCACGTATCTGACAGGGTTTGATATTTATCGCGTCTCGCCTCTTCTCGCCACATAATCTCGTTTGCTCGGAAAATTCGCTCGCTCGCGTCTGCTTAGTCGCACCCTAACACTAGATAAAACAATGATTTATCCACTGAGCCACTTGTGGAACGAGCAGAAATGTCTGCTCCAGAACGCGAGACGGATTACCTCGCATGTTACTTGTCCACTCCCTTCGTTCTCCACCCGAGAGTTCATAACTTGTGAAGACGGATTTTTAAGAATAAAACTATCTGGATTATTTGACCATAATCTGTACGAGCAATTATTTATTGTGACATCGTCGCAATGCCGGGCTGCAATTTTAACCAAATTTTCAAATTTATTTAATTTATAAAAATATATACTCTCGATTTTAGTCCTGTCTTTTCCCTGTACATCACACTTTTCCTGATAACAATAGACTCGTGCCAGTCGTCTATCCAACTTTGTTCTGTAAAAAATATTTAAATTGAAGTAACGTGACTTCCGGTCCAGACCCGAATTTCGTTTGTAGTTAATCGGGCTTCCTGCCCTAAGCTATCCAAATCCGGTCTCGACTTTCGTCTATCTAACATTCATTGTCCAGATTAAAGAAAGACAAAGTGACGCTAGTGGGAACCTATAGGTCCGCAATTTGAAAATTGAAGCTCAATATTGATATTTTCAAGTAAATTTGATATTTCCATTGTTATCGTGACAAAAAGACGTTCGGGTAGAATGGCCCGCAACTTATCGCTCGGCCACTAGCGTGCCTCTTTACATTTATCAATTGTAACAGCGATTCCATCTGAGGATAATACGACTTTCTACAACAATTTTGTTTCTGTTTTAGGTACAATTGATAAATGGATCCGTCACCGGTCAGTTACAAAATGCAACATCCGACGGTGAAAGAGGAAGAGTTGTGAAAGAAGACAGAAGCATTGACCAAATTGATAATAATTTATTTACTGTTGAAAGTTGACATTTTTGAGATTTCGAGCTTAATTTTCATTTATTAGTCATAGTTCTTGTGCAGTTTTCTGACATTTTTCTGAATTACATGCAATTATATTGATAGAATGTGAAATCCGAGCGAACGGCCTCCAGGAATTCTACGCTAGTGATCTTGTCCCGGCTCCTGGGTGGACTTGGCCCAACTCGCAACAGCTGTGTAAGAAAGGCACATTTTAGTATTTACAGGAAGAGCCAAAAATGAAAAAGCAAACCTAATTGAATATTAAAACTTTGTTGACTATTATTAATTTTACAAATAAAATGGTTAACTAGAACTTATGAAACAGTCTTATTATACTCGCAGTGAATTTAATTAACTGTTTATTTATCAAATACGCATTTCGGCCTGTCTGGCCGTTTACAATTCTATTTTACAAATAATAATGGCAATCCAAAAAACAGAGCTTACGATAACAAACGTTAATTAAATTCGCTGCGAGTATAATAAGTCTGATTTGTTGGTTCTAGTTAACCATTCTTTTGTAAAACTTATCAAGTTTAGCGCTTTACTGTTTACTATTTTCTTTTACGATTGATATAAATTTACTGGTATATCGTCATCTCTGTATAGTGATGTACAGTGAAAGTTATTTCTGGGAACGAAATCTCAATCTATGCGCAAAGATTATGCAAGGTTCGATTTACGACGCCCCAAAAGTGTAATGCACCATTTTGAACCACCCGTTCAAAACGGAAACCAGCCAAACCGGACAAAATATTCGGTACAGTACGAGTCCGATTTCACAAGTTTTACTGTACATACAGGGTGGCCATAATTAAAGTTTTCTTGTTCAGAGCACTCTGTAGCCGAAATCAATAAACGGATTGTCGCCAAAATTTCTTTACAAACTACTAAAGGATGCAGAAAATGACAGCTAAAAAATTTAGTTTGAAAAGTTGTGCTAGAGAATGTTCACAAGAAAATGCACGAAACAAAACAACAAAACACAAAGAAAAACGCATTTATTCGTTCCGCAAGGAATACGTATTCTTCCAGAGGTTGTTTACCGATACAGTCGACCCCCCTATAATTACGGTCCCTATAGTTACGATTCCTATAAAACTACGAAAAAATTGCTACCGGTATCCGTAAAAAATAGTAAAAGTTCCCTATAAACACGTCAAACGTCATCGGGCAGCCGAACTACTTTCCCGCCGTCCGTAGCGCCACGCTACGGAGAGATTTCTATCGTCTGGACAGTATTATATAAATTATATATAAATTAGGTACTGTACATATAATTATATATTAATTATATATAAATTAGGTACTGTATATATAATTATATATTAACTTATTGTAACTTTGTTATAATTAAATATATAATTTCCGCCGTCTAGCGTGGCGCCACGCTACGGAGATTTTTACGCTAACTATCGTCTGTCAGTATGTAAATTAGGTACCGTAAGTCTAATACAGTACTGTAATTTTATACATTTCTTGTGAAAGAAACATTTCTTATTCAACGGCGATTAAAATTATTTATATTAATGATGTCTCCGAAGTTCTACGAAGTTTTCACAGAAAAATAAGTTGTTAGAAATCGGCCGCTCTTTGCTGAGCTGTTCCGCGACGAAAACAATGTTGAGCAATGGCAATGTCGAATGGTGACACTCGGTAAGTAATCCTACAATTTTTTGTTTATAGCGTAGTTTATACGGATTATTCCCAAAAAATATATACGTATTTTGGAAATGTTGAGTCGGATTAGTCTAGAATCGATTAATTTTATGGAAGAAAATCTTTCAAACAGCCGTAGTCCGTAAACTTGATACGTGTCGGGTTGTGATTGGAAGGATTCGTAAGAAAGCGGATTCCTAGAGAATGGAACGTATCTCTATCTTATAGGGGGGTCGACTGTATAAAGAATGTTGCTCAATGTGACCGCCATTGTTCGGGTATAAAATTTGAAGGCGACGAACAGCGTGTTTCTACACCACAACTGTTCTCCAATGATACTTCGCACGTGCAGAATAATATCATCGTTTAAATCTGCAACATTTCTACTATTAATCATATTCTTCGTTTTATTACTGTGTCTTGTTTCGTATATTTTCCCGTGAAGCGCCTCTTAGCGGGAATTTTTGAACTATTAAGTTTTTGTCTGCAAACTCCTTTCAGGCAGCCATACACGTTAAGTTAATCCTTTGAGGCTGCCTGACCTTGAGGAACTTCAGAATTTTCTATCGCCCACACACGAAGAAGAAAATCTCTCAGCAGAGGCGTAGCTATCGTGGGGCAGCTTGCCCCGGGCGCCACTCGCAGAGGGGCGCCAATATAGTATCGTGCCCCGGGCCCCAGTTATGTTCGCTACGCCGTTGTCTCTCAGTCAGCCAGTCGGCCATGGCATCTGATGACGACATACTGATTGTTCTTGGATGTTTATTGGCAACAAATTCTATTAAAACTCGCGGGAAAAAGTATGCATAGAAGTCTGTATGATAATACAATACGTTTTCTTTTCGATGACATATCGGCAATATTAAAAGTAAATACAGTTGTCCCGTGATAATCCGACAGGTATGGGACCAAATGTGTGTCAGATTACCAAAAGTGTCCGGATTACCGAAAATAATTACATATTTCGCATTGTTTTGCTAGCAGTAACTTACAATATTCTCCACTCCAACTGTTTGAACAGAACTGCTCACATAAAACACACGAAATGTGTGTCATCGAGTAAGAATTGGATGGGGAGATTCACATCGCGACATGCTTCTGTGCAAGCAGACACGTAACGGGGACGGGTACCTTGACGGGAGGTGCGTCGGACTACTGAGCATGTCGGATTAAAAAACGTCGGACTACAGAGGGACAACTGTACTGTATTTAAATCGTGATTAAATTTTCAAGAAACAAATGTTTTATTGAATTTGGACTACTACTCACCAGTGCTAACAGACTAGCTATTGTTTAAAAGGCCCTCTAGCGGCGCAAGAATACGGATTTTATAAAATAAAAAGTAGTTGAAACTGCATTTTTATGAATAAAAATTTAACAAACTATTTATCGTTTTATGACGAGTAAAATTTTTTCGTCGCGTTCTCGGCTTTTAAGTAATGCATAAACCTTCGAGGCGCGAGGCCCTTCGGACCGCGAGCCATAGGTGGTGGCCCACGTCGCCCATGCCTTACGCCGCCCTTGGTTATAGAAATGATGTAATTTGAGTATAAATTATTTATAAATACGTATGTCGAGTTATATTTTTATTACGACGCAAAGTATATTTAATCTACCGACTCTGGCTATGGCCGACTGACTGATTGACTGAGAGACAATGGCATAGCGAACATAACTGGCGCACGGGACACGACACTATATTGGTGACCCCCTCCCCATCCAGAAACAAATCTTGTCTGTCTTACCATTTGGCGCCCCTCTGCGAGCGGCGCCCGGGGCACGTGCCCTACTTGCCCCACCCTAGCTACGCCTCTGCTGAGAGATTTTCTTCTTCGTGTGTGGGCGATGGGAAATTCTGAAGTTCCTCAAAGTCAGGCAGCCTCAAAGGATTAACTTAACGTGTATGGCCGCCTTTAACGTTTTCGTTCCGCGCTTCTGTCGTACTGAAATCAATAAAAACGCAAGGATTTGTGACGCGTAGTCACGTGTAGTTTGATTGTGGTAATGGCGGAAAGTGTAGCGAAAACGATGAGGAAACAAATATATTTGGAATTCTTCACCAAAGAAGTTAAAAAATACAGATGCCTGCATGACAAAAAATGTAAATAATTCAAAGATTATTAACAGTTTCATTGTTAATAAATACAGAGAAAGCGTAGCAAAATCCGTAGCGTCGCCGGTGTTTGACTCTACAACAATTACAGAACTGACCAACAGATGGCGCACTTCTAGTGGAGTCAAGTTAAAACGAAAACATAACTGAAACGAAAAGTCTATGTTTCAGTTCTGTTTCTGAGTTTCTGTTTTCAGGTAATGTGGAGTCCAGGCTTAATGTAAAACACTAGAAAGAGAAACGGAAACGTGGGAGAGTGTTCTCTTGACCATAGTACTCCTTTATTCTGTACTATGTTAAGTGGACTCGACTATAAAATTACAATTCTGGAGAGGTTGTTTTTTGAAGTAAAAATATTAAATAAGAGAAAAAAAACCAGAAATTCTCAGATGCAAGAGTTTTTTCTCACATTTTTGTAAGAAATCAAACAGAACACATTTTATCACAGAATTTCTTTATACGAGGCTCGAACCCACAACATTCAGTTGTATCAGTTTAACACTGCTAGAGCGTAACCACTACTCCACCAAGCCCCATGATAGAAATCTTTTGTTTTCATTATATAAGATTTGCCATTTGTAAAATGAATCTCATATATTGGTACTTATTTATATACAGTATATAAAAACGAATGCATGTCTGCTTGTCTGTCTGTCCTTCATGCATTACTACACCATTTATCTGATTGCCATGGAACTTTGGGAAGTTGTTTAAGACACTCCCGCGAAGGTTTCTGACATAGTACATTTATCCTATGAACGTTGGCGCGCGTGTATACGAGCATTTTATCGTGAGCATTTCAGCACGGTTAGGAGTTGAAACTTGAAATTTGGTACACAGTTAGGGTACTTCACGNCAATGGGTGCCTCACTTCTGTCTGGCATGCGGTGGCTAAGGACAGCTCCAATACCGTAAGGTGACGCATCACATGTTAGCACTAACGGTTTTTTTGAGTCGAAGTGCGTTAGTACGGCGTCTGATGTCAACAATGATTTGACGGCCTTAAACGCTTTTTCGTGTTTGGGCCCCCACTCCCACGGTGTGTTCGCATCCAGAAGACGATGCAATGGTTCCGCAACCGTGGCTTTGTTTTTCAGAAAAATATGATAAAAATTAACTAGTCCCAGGAACCCTTGAAGCTCTCTTTTGTTAGATGGTACAGGACTTTGCCAAACTGCCCGGACATTCTCCTCCGAGGGATGAATTCCGTTCGAATCTATCTTAAACCCCAAAAATGTTACACTTGGAACGCCTATAACACATTTCTGTGTTTTAATGCGCAAGCCCGATGATTGGAATTTCTCTAGAACCTGCCTAACCTTATGCAGCAGATTTTCCTCGGATTTAGCCGCAATGAGAATATCATCAAAGTATGGGATTACCCCTTCTATTCCCCCTACAAGTTGTTCGATAAAAGCTTGGAAAATCCCTGGCGCCGCGTTGATACCAAATTGTAATCTTTTGACCTTAAAGGCCCCTTTGTGTGTAATAATCGTTTGAGCCCTGGCTGTCTCATCATCTACCGCGAGCTGCTGATATGCCTGGGCCAGATCAAGCTTGNGGATTTCGTGGTTGGCAAGTTGGGAGACAAAAGAGACCTCAACAGGTTGTACGTTTCTCGTCCGCATGCCGTCAGCAGAATAGCTTTCTTCCTCTCTTCGTCTTCTATATTGTTAGCAGTTAGATATGCGTCGAGCCTCTCAGCATACGGAATCCACTGACTTGGGTGTGTAGGGTCGAACTCTTCCAGACAGCCGAAGGTAGCCATTGATCTCGCTCCACGTGGTACCAGTGAAGATCGTGCTTATTCTGTTTCCTCAGGACTTATTCTCAATCCAATCCCATCCTCGTCGCCAAATGTAAAATTCCCGTGAATCTTACGTTAGTAGTGCCTGAGAAGTGAATGGACACGATACTTAGAACATTTCACATTTATTTAACATATATCCGGTAACTACAGAACAGGGTTCAGCGACAATCCAAAAAGGGCACACTGCCCTCGGTTACAGGGTTTATATATCGGGCATCTCGCCCTCGGGCGCTGCGCTCGACGCGCCCTTTACATGTCGTGGTAAGACACGACATGACATGTATATATATTGAGCGAATACCTGAATATCATTAATTAAATGTTCTAATTAAATATTTAAACGAAATATGATTATTTCGTTAAAATTAAACACATTTAATGTTTATTCATTAATGTACCAAATACAAAGGAGTGAAAGCAAACACTAGACTGTCAACTGACATGTCGCGTGTGGTTACTTTTTGGCTCTGTTTTTCAGCTAGAGTTGGCTACAAACACTGGTTCTACAACTGGCAACATTCGCGTTACTTTTGCCAACTTTCGCTACATTGCGCCAAATTTGTTTCCCTCTCCCGTTTTTCATTTGTCGCAAAATTTTTAAATTCGGCGTGGGGCTAGCTTTTTGGCTACTATACGCGTGGCCATATTTTAAGCTAGTTGAGTTACTCATCAATTCGGTTACATTCCTTTTGAATTCTCCCGAAATGTTTTCTCGTTAACACCTAAATCAGAGGTGTCCAACCTTTTCGTTTTTCTGGGCCGCATTGGAAGAAGTCAAGGAGTTTTGGGCCACAAGTTTATATAATACATACTTGTGGCCCAATATACAAGTATATTTAAGGACTAATATGTCTAGATTATAATAATAAGTATTAAAACTTTATCACGAAAAAGGATATTTTAGAAAATTACTTTTACAGACGCTTTCAATTTTTACTCTATTAGAAATAGATAAATTCATTTATTATAAATATAAAGAGACAAACGAAAATTTATTTGAAAAACACAAATGTTTGTTTTATTTGGGTCTCTAATTAATAAAAAGCGACGAAACGCTATTTTAAAGTGCATTTTTATTCAACTAATATATTTATGAATAATATGTAGCCCCAAAAGTAGGCAAAGCGCCAAATGATATTTTTTACATCAAACTAAAAAAAGTAGCCACATTTGGTGCAATGTAGCCAAATCTTGCAACGCTGGAAGGAATAATATATAAAGCTGGAGTTGTGACTCAAAGGATTATAGACCCAAATGTGAGGAAAAAAGAGAAAGGACAAAAGATAAAGAAGTGAGAGAGGTTGGAAAATTAATAATCAATGTTACCGTGAAAGACCGAAATTAGAGAATGTCGATATTCTCCGGTGAATGTCCGAATAATACAAAATACAAAATATAGAAAACTAGCAGGTGGGCCCGGCGTTGCTCGGGCAAAAGTAACGATAACTAAGATAAAGATTATTACGTTACAGTCAACCTTACCCGTTTTCACAGAATGCAAGAATTGGGTCCCCTTAGAGCATTTTTAGATGGGTCTAAAAATATGTTCGATTTCCCGCAAAAACGAAAAAAACTGCATCTGCGTATTGCACGTTGCTTTCTCTTAACAATTCCATTGTTACGTAACATTTCCATTGTTGACACTTCCATTGTTACTTAAAACTTTTATTGTTACTTAAAACTTCCATTGTTACTTAACACTTCCATTGTTACTTAGCACTTCCATTGTTAC